TTTGATTTACAAAGGAAAAAACTTCCAATTAAGATAATGTGGTCACTCAAAATGTGAATATTATATTTGAAAGCAGCCCTGTAAAAGTTTCAACCATATTAGAGACTCCATTTTATAAACCTAATCATCAAATTGTGTAGTATATACCATTATTCATTATTTTTCAATGTTAGAAATTCTGATATAATATAAATCAACATGATGATGAAGTAAACACAGCATTATTATAGTAATTTTATTTAGAAGATTAGATTTATCAACTTACTATATAATACCACACGTTATTGCAAAGTTTGAGCAGCCGCCGGCTGGACTAAACTAGAAGCTACTAATCTGACAATTTCAAGTTTCCACGTATTCAAATTGATAGACGAATTTTCAGATCGGCCCCACAGAAATCAATAAATTTATAATTAGACCCAACAAAAACCAAAATGATCATAAAAGACCCTGAAAATTCAAGAACTCAGACAACAGTCCCGTAGTATTCATATTTTTACACAGAAAACTTCAAATTGAATTGTATGAAACCCATAAAGAGGAACTCAGATACACGTTACATTTGAAAAAATGTAATCTTAAATATAAATCTATTCTCTCCAACGGTGACTACAGTTCGGGTTGCAGCAAACGAAAAACAGAGTCATTCCTTCTTCGCCTCTAGCAGTGGCCTGCAATTTCAATGGCGCACACGAGCTATATCAAACCGAATCTTGAGATATAGAGTGCAGAAGTAGTCATAAGCACATTAAAAAGCAAGAGAAAGAAATCTTTTTAGATCTTCAAGTTAGATCAGAGAAAAACTATAGAATGTTTCTTTACTTCTTGATTGATGACGAATTAACGACTAAACTTTAAGATAATAATGATTCACCTGGAAGAAGACAGCTTCGCCGTGTTGACACTTGGCACACCGCACTGCCTTGGTACGTGGAAGAGTTGGATCCGAAGCAACGTCGGATAGGATCTGAGTTTGTTCACTTACAGAGTGATGAACCTCGTTTCTGTAAACACAGTTGTTATCCGCTGCTTCCTGCAAAGCCAAATGTTCGAAAAGAATATAAATTTCAGATCTTCCACATTCATAGTAACAAGACAGTAAATCCAGCTAACATTAAGTCGATAACTAGTTCGGTTAGCAAGTCCAGCATTAAGCTAAAGATGCCATACAAAGATTCATATAGAATGGTTTCCAGTAGCTAACAAAGGCTTAATGATTTGTAATAACAAACACTACAAATAAAAACACTCAGATTCGGTAACAAGTTGCATAACAAGAAAAGCTTGTGCACCCAATATATATTGTTGAAACTCAAATGGTTTTAGAAGCTAAGTTGCAGAAACCCTATAAACGCTTTTAGAGTTTCTATAAGGTCTAGCATTTGTTCACAAGTTCTCAAAGAAGTCTTTGTACTGATAAGCACTATCTTAACTAATCAGATTCATGGACTGAGAGACAAGGACAATGAGCTGGATTGTGGATCTAAAATTGTTAAATTCTCACTCCTTGGTTTGATTTCAAGTTCAGACATTCCGTATAAGCGATTACAAAGAGTAAACATATAAAAAAAATTATCAACAGAAATCTCTACAAGTGAACAACTAAAGTCTATTGGTTTCAGCTCTAGCTTTGTTTCAACACCACATTGTGCCATTGACACTATAGAACCCTAATTTTATGAAAGAAATCAAATTAAACCAAGCTTTTACCTGATGATCACAATTACGGCACGCGTAGAGGAGGATTGATTGCTCTTTGTCTTCCTTAGGATATAGAATGTTATTACTGAACATTTCAAGAAACAAAAAAAAATCAAAAGTAGAGAAAAATTAGAGCTTTAATCGAATAGATAACATAAGCAAACCACCTAAAACTAAAATTCCGACATTTAGAGACTTAGAAGAACTGGGTACTATATCGAATTTCAATTTCAGAAGATAAGTATAAAAGAGCAAAGAACAGATTCGTTTTGACCCCAAAAAAGAAAAAAACGAAGAGATTCGTATTTACCATTCACGACAAAATTTCATAGTACTCATCTTCGCAGAATCTTTCTTTAGATAACGAGCTTTCGAGTGCTTCTTTGATTTCACAATCAGTCTCTCAGTATCTTTGGCGGGATTTGTTCACTCGGACATGAGAGAGAGACAGAGGTCAAGCTCTAGTAAAGAGACTCTGTAGTGGCAATCGGATGTAATTTCATGAACTTTCTTGGGCATTTACGACGCAGATGCGTAAAGCCCATGGGCCGGCCCATATAAGAATTTATTAACATGTGTGGTAAAATACAAATAAAGAAATACGAAGAGGACAAGACGAAATAAATTTGACCCTTTCTTCATTCAAGACTAGTGTACTTTTTTTTTTGGTAAAAAAGACTAGTGTACTTTTTCTTACATTAACAACCACATGCATATGATATCCCCATGCACCTTATATCATTGTCAAAATTATTCGTATGCACATATTATTTCTATTCTAATAAAAATATATGTTTACTAACTTCTTTACTTCTGTCAGATTCCAACTGCTGAATTGGTCTCTCTTTTAACTACTCCTGACTCTATAGTGTATACCGACACATCTCTATAGCACTACCACTAGCAATAGCAAATAGCAATAGTTGCAACATGATTTATTTGTGTTTTTCTCTTTATTCACTACATATATCATTACTACTCTTTTGTTCCATATTTTACAACTTAGTTACTAATTATTCCTTATGCAATCTTATCGCTTAATTATCACACTGACTTTGTATATAGTTTAGTCCAAAACGTTTTGTTTTGCTCAAATTATATTGCATAAAAAACAACAACAACAAAACACATGTATACATGCTGATCATATATTGTATTATGCAAATTTGTTAATCCTACATGATCATTTTGTAAATATATATCATAACATTACAATTTTACTTGTTTAGTTGTTTTATATACATACATTTATTGTGACATACGTATGATTAATTTGGCGAGTACATAATATGTAATTGGGTTGTTGAAGTGCACATGCAGTCATGCAGTCACACATACATATATACAATATATACGTGTTATGTTTGTGTGTAGTTGAATTGTTTCTATAAATATGGACACACATACACTAGCTTTCTAATATAGTACCAACTCCATTGAATGTTAAAACTCAGAAGAAAGTGGAGTGATCATATAACTACAATGAAGAATCTCTTTAACTTGTTCCTTATGCTTTTCGCTGCAATGCCAATTCTCTCACTCTCCGACAATCCAACCAACTTCAGCGAGAGTTGCGAAGACGGGAGTGGAGAAACTGGTTCAAGTTTTGGTATAGGGTTCGGTTTGGTTCTTGATTTCGGTTTGTACTGGAATAGCTGTCCGGAAGCAGAGTCCATAGTCTATTCGTGGGTCGAAACCACGGTGTTACAGGATCCAAGAATGGCTGCTTCTCTTCTCCGTCTTCATTTCCACGACTGTTTTGTCAATGCAAGTCCCATCTCATCTTAAGTTCGTTTTAACTGTTTTGGTCAATTATCTAATCCCGTCTTTTATATACCATTGAACCGGGAAAGTATTAGATATGCTGGTTAAACCGTGACAAATCCAAATTGGTACCGGTTAAGTAGAGCAGGAGAACAAATCAATGTGTTTTTTTTTACTTACATTATGCATTGCAGGGATGTGATGCTTCGGTGTTGTTGGACGACACGGAAGGACTGGTTGGTGAAAAAACGGCGCCTCCTAATCTAAATTCTCTCCGAGGGTTCGAAGTGATAGATTCGATAAAGTCTGATCTTGAATCTGTATGTCCAGAAACCGTCTCATGCGCAGACATTCTTGCCATGGCCGCTAGAGATTCAGTCGTTGTGGTAACTATATCTTCAGCCCTACTAATCACCATCTTATAAACCGGATGAACTCAATTCAAATCATCTTGGTTTAACACTTTTAAATCGGGTTTTTGAAGTCGGGTGGACCAAGCTGGGAGGTGGAAGTAGGAAGAAAAGACAGTAGAACAGCGAGCAAACAGGCAGCAACAAATGGCTTACCCTCACCAAACTCAACCGTACCAACTCTCATATCTACCTTCCAAAATCTTGGCCTTTCACAAACCGACATGGTCGCTCTTTCCGGTATACATTCTCTTGTACTCTTCTTTCTCTTTCTCAAGACCAACCCAAGATATTGATACTTAAACCAAATGGAAATCAGGTGGACATACATTGGGAAAGGCACGGTGCAGTTCGTTTACAGCTCGGTTGCAGCCACTGCAAACTGGACAACCGGCTAACCATGGAGACAACCTTGAGTTCCTCGAGTCACTACAACAGTTATGCTCGACTGTGGGGCCCACTGTAGGTATCACTCAGCTCGACTTGGTGACCCCATCAACATTTGACAACCAGTACTATGTAAACCTCCTCTCGGGTGAGGGATTGCTTCCATCAGACCAAGCTTTAGCGGTTCAAGACCCAGGGACAAGGGCGATTGTTGAGACCTACGCAGCAGATCAGTCGGTTTTCTTTGAGGATTTTAAGAACGCTATGGTTAAAATGGGAGGGATTACCGGGGGTAGTAATAGCGAGATTAGGAGGAACTGTAGAATGATTAACTAAAAATAAAAGGATATAACCATTTATATCCAAAACCCGACTTATTGATATCTATATAAAAACTAAAGAAGTCCACCTACATAGGACTCTGGTTTCACGAAATCATTGGAAGAGCAAACACATATATGAAGATCGGGAAACTACAGATTGATAGAACTCTGAAAATGAAAAATTAGAGTTGGATTTTGTCAAGTGATGATATATGAAAGCACATATTTCTATTTATATAATTATATTATATATGACTCCTAGTCTGGATCAAAGTTTGGTTTACCCAGCTAAGTTTACTACTAGTAACACAACATGAGGCATGACCTGCACTAGCTATGTTACAACAGGCCATTGTTTGGTAACTCTTCAAATGAAAATGAAGAAGATATCTGATTAGAGAAGAATGCAGATGGTCTTCGAATCGCCTATCTATTTTACCTGAAGGGGTTAACTTAAAAAATCAGAGACTAAGAACACTGCCATTGCTGCTTTTCCTCTCCTTGACTAATTAGTTCCAGAAATTTCTATCTAGTTACTGAGATAATTTAGCTCCTCGTTTCATGTACCTGCAGAGTATCGATCAGCACAGAGAAATAGATGCAACTTCAAACTAAAGAAACATCATACATGTGGAATGTGTTTCGGTACGGAAAAAATACAAGAGAGATGAGAGAATGGGAAGATATAAACCTCAAGCTTTATTCTTCCACCTGACTTCTTGGGGAGATTGACGGCTCTGGAAGAAAGAGATATGAGTGTAAGAGAATAAGAAAAAAAGGTTTCAACAACAAAGAAAATCTGAGTACCAAAGGACGACAGAGAGAAGTTCTGAATCACAGATAAAATCCGTAACTACCTGTTGAGTTCTTGATAGATCATTCATTGAAGCAGCTCCCACCACGGGTATATGTGTCCGAGCATAGTCCTAGACAATCCAAACAGATTAGAACATAAGCTCTGCCTTTATTATTTCCAACCAAGGAAGTCATATCCCTTATGTTTCTTTTTAAAATATCAAAATTCATGTATGTTCTTTGATTAAATACAAAGATAATCAGAAGATATGAGAGATTGTTATACATAATAAGAGATATACCTGAGCATTTTGACTTATTCCTGGCATAGGAAACTGCATTTTCCAGAAAAGAAAAAAAAAGATTTTAAACTAGAGAATATATGCATAGCGTTTTCTTCTTTCTAAATGTTACCAAAACTACGCATCAGAGGAAGTTCATGTTGTAACTGAGAATCAATCAGTTCCATGAAAAATAAGTCCACAGGTTCAGATATGTACCTGGCTGTTTTGACCAACTGGCAATGATGGATACTGCGTTTTAAAATGGAAAACAGACATTCACGTTAGAGATTTGTTATCTGTATTTCAAAACGCTGGCAAAACCATGGCTTATTGAATTTTACATAAGGTGGTCAATCTCCTTCTACCACAACATTAGCATCTCAAGAATAAAATCTTGAAACGAAAAATAAGTAAACAGATTAAACAGATATACACCTGAGCATTATGGCTGGACCCTGGAGTTGGATACTGCAAGTCCAAATGGAAAAGAGTAAATATGCAAATTAGAAACCATGTGAGAAAACTACTTGAATGTAACCAGCATGAAAACGAAACCAACCAGTGAAGAATAAAACGGATGCTGTAATTGCTGGCCTTGATATTGCTGGTGAACTTGTTGTGGTTGTTGCTGCAACGGCTGTAATTGGGTCTGGGGCTGCTGTATATTTGGCTTTTCTTGATGTTGCTGCTGTTGCTGTTGCTCTCGTTCGAACACTATCATTTCCTCAGGTTTTTCCCACTGCAAAAGTCAATTATACACATATTATGGCACGTATTAAAGAACTTCAAATATAAAATATACATATATACATGTTCAAGGATTATAAATAGCACAACAAACCAGAAGGAATACTCCTGAAACTCACAAGGAAATATATTAAAGAGGAGCCACGTTTCTCACCTTGCTTTCACCCGTTAGACCATTGTAATAATATTTAAATCCATCAGGCGAGGTATGCTCGGTCCAGGTACATTTGACAGAAACCACGCTCTGACTTACTGCAGGTGCAGCTGTTTGCACAAAGGTAACTGGTGTCGAACCAGTGGTGCTAACAACTGTTGGAATTGCAGATCCAGCCCACTGATAAAGAAGCAGCCGTGAGGAACATTAGAAAAGCGGAGAATGCTAAAACACATGAAGAATAAAAACCTGAGATGTATTATCAGGAAATTATCTTAAGTAAAAAAAACACAACAGCTGCTGAAGAACCCGGCTGGGCAGACGCAACTGAGAGACTATATTCATACCTGCTGTTTACCAACTTGGCCATTCTGTGAGAGTGGTAAATTTTGGTTTGGTTGCTGCATAGACTGCACCTGCTGCTGCAGCTGAGATATTGCTTGCTGAGACGATTGGAGTGTTGCTTGTAGACTCTGAGTTTGCTGTGACAAGAGCTGAGCTAGCTCAGAAGGAGGATGTTGCATCTTTTGTAGCGGTTGCTGCTGGGAACGAGGGAGAAATTGATCAGTTGCAGAAGACACATGTGTTGGTCGTAGATTAATGTTCAAAGGAGTCTGAGGAGCGGTTGCACGAGTGACGTTTTGCTGTGGCGGCAGCTGAGAGGAAGGCAACTGGCTGCTATAAGTATAAGGATTCTGTAAGGGTGCCTGGGCACCAGGGAAATGTGGACGTAGGGGGAGACCCTGTGGACTGTGAAGAGTTTTTTTTAATGGTGATATTTGCTGGCCAGCTGCCCGATTTTGCTATGGAATAGAAACAATTGAAAATCCAAGTTAAGCATCACAACATTTTCAGATTTGCTTGATTGAAAAATATTGCTAAAGTACCTGTTGCAATTTAGCAGAAGATGAAACTCCAGAGACTGGAAGAGGATTAAGGGGAGGAACACCATAACCACCAAACAGGCCACCCTAACATTATAGAATGTCACATATAACAAAGCTCACATCAGAGGTAGAAATTATTGAAAATAAAAAATTGTCTCAGTAACTGACAAACTGCAAATCAAGGCCATATCATTTGACTGCAACACACATCATGTTTGTTGCATCATATGAAAAGCTGAAAGGTCGAAACTTCATGCTTCTTTTCACCAGTCCATAAGCTCATACGTGTGCAGTAAATGAAGTACTTTCTTTTTTTTTGTCTCGCACAATACATGCAAACTATGTGCGCTTACTTGCATTAATGTGTAGATTTAAGATGATATACATGATCATCAAGCTGTTCTCACCTGATTTGAAGGCAATGTTGCTTGACCTGGTCTAGGGGAAAAGTCAGTTCCGGCACCACGGATCCCAGTGTTACTAGGTGGACCTACGTTTTGTGAATTCGCTGGACGCCAAGGATTTGTGTGGCTTACATCCCCACTAGAGTCACCAAAGTTAGAGGTGGGCCTATAAACAGAGATGAAGAGAACGGGGTTAGTCAAAATATATAATTACCTGATGAGCATAATGAATGATCTCCTTTCACGCTAGTTACCTTTGTCCTGAAACTTGAAAACGAGGCCCTGAACCAAGTCCAACAGGAGCTGTCATGTCCCTGGAAACAGAAACTACGTAAGGATATATATAGACAGCAATGCTTCACATTCCAGTAATAACTGGAGAAGGAACAAGGTTCCCAACTCTCCACCATGCCCCAAAAGATTCCCCATAAATATAACTCAGATAGAACAAAGAATGGTAAATGAAATTAGAATTAGATGCTGGTAGTGAAACAAGTAAAGATGGTAAATGACGATTGAAATATAGTCAGTAAGGCATTACCTTGACTCGCCAGGTTTAGGTCTCTTTGGATCAGCAAATCGAACAATCAATGGCTGATTGCAACCCTAGGGAAAGGATAGAGGCCAGTAAACAAAACAGGTCCAAAGGGTGATATGAGAGAAACTGAGATACTTATGTGATTCACAGCTTACTCTCATGGTATAAGTTCCATTGAGACCATCGATAGCTGCCATTGCCGTCTCTTTGCTTGAATATTTAACAAACCCGCATCCTACAAAGTGAAAAACACAGTTTGACCATCTCAACATCATCAGGCATCAAAATATTTATAGAATCTAGTAGAAGTTACAAGACATACCACGACTCTGTCTATATTCATCACGCATGAGATAGACATCTTCTACGCGACCAAATTGTAAAAAGATCTGTTAAAGCAATAACAGTCAAACAGTTTGTCGAAAGACTACATGAGAAATTAAAACAAATACTTTGAACTGAGAAGGTAGCCGTTCACATCTTTATCAATTTTATCTATTATGATAAACAAACAGTTGGATGATTTGGAAGAAGAGATTACACAGTTAGTAGAATGTCTAAGCGATTGCATTATTTACACTTCAAAAAATAGGACATGAGACATACCTCCTCAACTTCTTTTTCAGTGGCTTGCTTGTTTAGTGAACCAACGAAAAGCTTAAACTCTAGCGTGCCTTCAGAAGAAGAAGACTAAATCAGTTGAGAATTGAAAACGGGCAAAGACAACAGAGAAAAAAAGGATCCACATTGTTAAAATTTATATCATTTCCCACATTATCTTAATTTTTGTAATCTGAATTTATGCAGCGTATGGTTATTACTATGAACACCAGACAATGACAGCACCATTAAGATACTACGTGCCGAAGTAGATTACCTATGCGTTCTCTCTCCCCATCAGCATATCGAACTTGAACAGGACCAGTTCCCTGGGAATCAACAAATTATAATGTGAAACAACCTGTATTTTTCTGTTCTTGATAAGAGAAAGCCTCAGGGTAATTACCCCAGGAAGAGTGATCTGATTGTGCAGTGCTCTAATGGCTCTATCCGCATCTTTAGAAGTTGCATACTTTACAAAACAACAGCCTGCATTAAAGACTGATACTTAAGCTGTCTGTTTCAAGGTTCAACTTTTCTTTTAATCAACATCAATATGTACTATTAAAAAGTTGCATTACAAATGTACAAGCTACGCAACCACAACTTTGAAGAAATAAATGGCATTACTCAAAACACACAAGTTCAGTAGGAAAATCACAAGACATGTCCTGACAGCCTCCACTTAAATCATTGAAGTAAAGTTGTTGGAGAGAATAAATTAATGTCTTCAAATGGAGCATATGGTAAAAAAAATATTAAAAAATAGAACACCGTCGGTATCTGCAGATAACATATCTACAAGAGGGCTTTTCAGACAAAGGGTGGCTGAATTTGTGCAAACATAAAATAGCAGATAGTTACTAACATAAAAATATAACTACAGGTCCAAGGTAAAGGATTCAGTATGTAAGAATCTCAATCATTGATAAGTAGCAGATAGTTAAAACCAAAACATATATCACATTTTCGTCACCGTACATCAAGCATTTGAAGACTTCAATTAAAGAACTACAGTTATGGGCAAGATAACTCATTGGACATAATTGCAATTCAGAAAAGAATATACTTGCTTCATGTATTACATAATTAGGTTCCTGCCTGATGCTGATCGATCAAGGGAAAGAGAGTGAAGTCAACATTGTTGTATTAACATCAGAAACTATTCTAAGAAATTAAAACAATCAGTTTCCTTCCATATGTTTGTACCACCTAACATAATAACATTTCACAAGACTGAAGAAAGAATTGTATGGAATCTAGTACATTCAAACTGCGATCAAAAGTTTTATGTCACTACAATCAAATGCAATTGTTATGCCATCCACAAAGGTGTAGCAGTTATAGATACAATTACATCTTGGAAAGTCAAGAATTAATAAATAACTATGCACATACAAACACAACATTCATCGTCTAGTGATTCTTTACACTGACAAAATAAAGACAGAAATAAATGGAATAGTACCAAAGGAAATTCAATTAGACAGATCTAAAACAGTTGCAAGCACAAAGGCTTGGTTGGCGAAAAGGGAGTATACAAAATAAACTATCATCAAACATTTTCCACATAAATATCGATCACCAGTGCAAGGGTTACCATACAGACATAAGAGCTACTCAACAAAACATTCATTCATCTATGACGAGAGATGGTATATCACATCACAAGCCATCCAAGAAATAGAGAGGTGGGAACATACAGAATACAAACATAAGAGCTACTAAACATACACATTCATTCATCTATGACAAGAGGTGGGTATATCACATCGCAGGCCATCCAAGAAATAGAGAGGGAATACCATACAGAAAACTGAAATCTCAGGCCATTCAAAGAGAGTGGAAAGAAATACAGTCATCATAGTTCCTCATGTCATCAACAAAAGAAAAGGAGAAAAGCATTCATTCCGGCATCACACATCCAAAAAGGTAAAAGGAATTCCATCATTAACCAATAGACAGACATTCATAAATTGATATGAAAAAAAGAAAATGAAGACGCCAAACCTCCAACATGATATAATCAATAAAAAGGGGCCAAATCTTGACCAGCAGGGGTGGCAAATTAGGAAACCATCTTTTGAACCTTATGTCCTTATCAAACTACCAACTTAAAAAATACATCCATCAAGTTAAGACCATACACAACATTTTCAATCCATCTAAAGGAAGAGTAAAGAAAAATGAATTTCAATAGGAGATGAAAATAGCGATGTTCTTTTAACCAATACCCACTATAAAGGCAACAACAAAACATCTTTTCAGTTTTCTGTACATTAACTCCAACTCTAAAACACCCTCAATAAAGTCTGCTACACTTTTCAAACACAACTAAACTTCTAGAATACACACAAGTAGCGAAATCTATTTGCCCAATGTAAGTACATAAACCCTTTCTTAGCAAACTACATAGGTAGCCTTCTTCTGTGACAGAATCGAACACAGATAAGACGCTGCCAAGCATAAGCAATAAGCCCGAAAATTGTTGCAAACAAATGGAGGCCAATGATGAGACTGGGGTTGCTTCCCATCAGCCTTTTCAGGGAGACCTGAAATTTAAAAAGTATAAATCACGACTATTTCCTAGTAAAATGGAGATTGACATACCTTGCTGCTGTCCAGTTCTCTTGTCCTTGATCAAAGCAACCTCCAGAACATTTCCATGCTTTTCAAAAAAGGGACGAACCTGGAATATAAAAACCAACAGATAAATTAGAAAAGGTAATTAAGAACTATCTAGGTACGAATAAGAGTCGACAGTGTTCCTGGTGTAAAATATCCCAGCTATGAACACATAGACAACAAATTAAATTAAATATCCCAGATTAACTCACTTCTTCTTCTATAGCTGTCCTTGGTACGGAGCCAACAAAAAGCTTGACAATACTGCTATGATCAGAAACATCTGCAAATCAAATTACCCAGCTAAGGATACACATGAGGATGGGATATAGTTTTGATTATCACATACAAGGGAAAATCGAAATTCGAAAGGATCTCACGAAAAACCTTCAACAATAAAGTACCATAACAAGTTAACAACTACACTAACTTACAATACTCTAATCATTGATTCCCACAAAAACATGAGATCCTCGGGAACCTTAAAAGACTACAAGTGAACTCATGCTTACCAGCTCCAGTATAGCTGCCATGATCTGAGCTAGGATACCCTCGTTTCTGACCCGAAAGAGGCTGTTGGACCGGCGGTGTAGTCGGCCTTACAGAATAATCAGACTCCATTGCTTTACCGACAAATCTCCTCCCGTCTGGACTCTCTGAAGGCGGAAACTTTGCGGGTCCATTAGCCCGAAAACCTCCTCTGCCACGACCAGCTCCAACAATTGACCGCGTCCCTTCTCCTCCTACACCACCGTCAGGACCCATCGGACGAAAACCATCATCGTAGGCAAAACCCATAGGCCGAAAACTTCCACCATTCCGAGGACGCATCTGCTGAAAATCTACTCTATCTGGAGGACCATTCATCTGCCGGAAACCTCCATCTCCGGGACCATCAAAATCCGTAGGACTGTCACCTTCCCAACGTCGACCACCACCACCTCCTCCGCCCCCAATTCCAACTCGATAATTGCTAGGGCTGCTTCCACGACGACGACGGTGGCGGTTAAAATCATCATCATCCTCTTCGAAGCGTGAATCAGAGGGACGAGACGGACCTCTAGGATGGGTGGTTCGGTGGTTATGGTAGGAATCTTCGTAGCCGCCACTCTCATGGCGATCCCTTCGGTGTCTGTCCAGCTTGACGTAGTGGGGAATTGCGAATACAGTCGAAGAAATCAAAGGACTTGGAGCCCTAGAAATTTGGGATCTGTATCGAAGATGAATTTGATTGAAGATGAGAACAATTATTTTTTGTCCGAATTTTTTTGGCAAATGTACTCTCTGAGTCTCTCTGACCGGTGTAAAAAGAAAAAGCGGTCTAGTTACGGTAGTAGTGGTTGGACCGGTGATGCAGTTAAAATTTGGACAGGTACTTTATTGAAATTTGGATCATATAATAACTTGTTTTGTTTTTTTTTTTCCATCCATATAGGTTACTTATTGGAATTATGATTTATGAAATATTTATTTCTTTAGTGATTGGTTAAATATAAACTTTTTATTATTTTACTTTTTTCGGCAAAAACATACTTTCACTGATTTAAAAAAGTTATTACCAAGTCATTTACAGAATTAATAGAGCACAAGTCATTTATAAGTTAATAATTATTAATTTAACAAAATTTAATGCTCTTTATTTGCAATAATCTTTTCCAAAACATATTTTATTCAAATTTTTCTCTTCATAAACTACTTACCTAAAGAAAACAAAATTATCAATTTAATGAAATCTTAAAATAAAAGATTACTTGACCAGAAAAATATCTTAAATAATAAGTAAGTCCATAACAAATAATCAAAGCTGTAGAATGACTCTCCGTCAATACAATTTTGTAGGAAGTTGTAGTAGAAAAGTGGTAAGAAATTTTTGATAAGAAAACTAAAATAACAACTTGGTAAATATTTTAATGAGGTTTTATTGATCATTTATTTAGTCTTCGATTTTGTAATTATTTCATAAAATTAATCTAGTAATTAACTGACTTGTATATAAATAACTAAAACAAAAATCTATCATTGATGAAAAAATACACAAAATAAAAGAGAAATTTATGACAAATTTGTTTTTTTATTACTTCAGTTTTTGCTTTTTCTGCCAAAATCAACAAAATACATATAATAAGAGATTACCAAAAAGCAAAAAATATGTCTTCACCATCCAACTTCCCATTTCCCCGACAATACATCTTCACCGTTCGCTAAATTCCAAAGATAAAGACCATCAGTTTTTGCGGTCCAAATGCAATTCTTCCAACCGCATCTATGAAACAGAATAACATCATCCCAAAACACCTTTACATTCATATGACCATCATCTTTGCTTATATAGCACCAAAACAAAGTTGAGTGAAGCATATTTTCTCCGAAATTCCAAGAAAATCTATCTCTAAAATTCAGACTAATTTCACCTAGATCATCTTCCTTAGATTTACAATGGATGAAAAGAGTTTCACCAGTGGTCAAACCGTTAACAACCGTGACTTGCCACTCGGAAATCTTCGGGACCATGATGTCTCTCGTGGTGGTGCCGCCGACTAAGACATGATCTTCATATGTTATGGCTAGAGAAAAGCAAATTACCAAGAAAAATTGTTTGATGCAATTCATTTTTTTTTTGGGCAAGCAAAATTGTTAGGAAGAAATATTTTTGTTACTTCTTTTTATAATGGAAGAGTGAAACGGTAAATGCATTAATGTTATTACATTGCGTTAATGAAAAGTCATGCGGCAAATCATTTATGTGATTGCTTGTTAATTAGAATTGAAACTGAAAGATTGGTCACATATAATGATCCAAGTAGATGATTGTGGCATAATATATGAAGACAAAGAAAATTATAATTTATATTGTGGTGTAAGCTATTACTTTTGAATTTATTATCGACGATTCTTTTTTCTTTTCTTTTTTTATGATAGATACAAACCTAACAATCAAATTTTTACTTGATTATGTGAATTAATTTTAAAAAAATATTAAGTTTAAGATTTTGATTATGACCTCGGGGGTGATTGGACGAGGCTGTTAGTTTTGGCTGTAAAGACTTTGACTTTAAGAACTTTGGCTGTAGAAACTTTGGCTGCAGAGACTTTGGCTGTAGAAACTTTGGCTGTTAAAATCTGATTGGTAGAACAAAGCTGTAGAAGCTGTGACTGCTATTTTTTTTAGGATTATATATAGAGAAATTGTTAAAAATGCCCTTTTCTCAATACCCCTTTTCAAAAATGCCCCCTTTGAGAGTCCATTTTTAAGTTTGCCCTCTTTTAATTTTTAATGACCATTTTACCCTTATTTGAAACAAAATTAGGTCCACAAAATACAAAATATTTTTTGGCGGGAAAAGTGATCCCGCAATTTTCCCGCCAAAACACTTGTAAAATCCTTTAATTTACCTTGTAAAATTTTCCCGTAAAAATTTTTCCCGCCAAAAAATTTTCCCGCCAAAAATTTTTTTTGCGGGAAAAGTGATTCCGCAATTTTTTTGGCGAAATTTTTTTGGCGGGAAAATTTTTGGCGGGAAAAATTTACAAGGTATTTTAAAGGTTTTACAGAGTATTTACAAGTGTTTTGTAAGGTTTTACAATGTATTTTAAAAGGTTTTACAAGGTACTTATAAGGTTTTATAAGGTATTTATAACTTGTAAAACCTTATAAAAAACTTGTAAAACCTTATAACTTGTAAAACCTTATAAAATAGCTTGTAAAATCTTATAATATCTTATAAATACCTTATAAATACGTTGTAAAACCTTTTAAAATACATTGTAAAACCTTATAAATACCCTGTAAAAAACCTTTAAAATACCTTGTAAATTTTTTCCGCCAAAAATTTTCCCGCCAAAAATTTAACGCCAAATTTTTTTTTTTATCACTTTTCCCGCAAAAAAATTTTTTGGCGGGAAAATTTTTTGGCGGGAAAAAATTTTTCGGGAAAATTTTACAAGGTATTTTAAAGGTTTTACAAGTGTTTTGGCGGGAAAAATTGCGGGATTACTTTTCCCGCCAAAAAATATTTTGTATTTTGTGGACCTAATTTTGTTATATTTCCTTATATATTTGTGATATCTTTTATTAAAAGAAGGGTAATTTAGTCATTTTGTACATAAAAAGGGGTATTTTTAAAAATGGACAGTCAAAGGGGGCATTTTTGAAAAGGGGTATTGAAAAAGGGGCATTTTTGTGAGTCTCCCTTATATATATTCATAATAAATATAAATAATGTTATAAATGAATTTATGTGACAATATAATTTTATTAATGATAAGAATTTAGAAAAATACAAAAATTCATAAATAAATGTATAGAATAATATTGAGAAATTGTTAAAAATGCCCCTTTTTCAATACCCCTTTTCAAAAATGCCCCCTTTGAGAGTCCATTTTTAAGTTTGCCCTCTTTTAATTTTTAATGACCATTTTACCCTTATTTGAAACAAAATTAGGTCCACAAAATACAAAATATTTTTTGGCGGGAAAAGTGATCCCGCAATTTTCCCGCCAAAACACTTGTAAAAAACCTTTAAAATACCTTGTAAAATTTTCCCGTAAAATTTTTTCCCGCCAAAAAATTTTCCCGCCAAAAAATTTTTTTTGCGGGAAAAGTGATTCCGCAATTTTTTTTTTTTGGCGGGAAAATTTTTGGCGGGAAAAATTTACAAGGTATTTTAAAGGTTTTACAGAGTATTTACAAGTGTTTTGTAAGGTTTTACAATGTATTTTAAAAGGTTTTACAAGGTACTTATAAGGTTTTATAAGGTATTTATAACTTGTAAAACCTTATAAAAAACTTGTAAAACCTTATAACTTGTAAAAACCTTATAAAATAGCTTGTAAAATCTTATAATATCTTATAAATACCTTGTAAATACGTTGTAAAACCTTTTAAAATACATTGTAAAACCTTATAAATACCTTGTAAAAAACCTTTAAAATACCTTGTAAATTTTTGGCGGGAAAAATTTTCCCGCCAAAAATTTAACGCCAAAAAAATTGCGGAATCACTTTTCCCTCAAAAAAAAAATTTTGGCGGGAAAAAATTTTACGGGAAAATTTTACAAGGTTTTTTAAAGGTTTTTTACAAGTTTTTACAAGTGTTTTGGCGGGAAAAATTGCGGGATCACTTTTCCCGCCAAAAAATATTTTGTATTTTGTGGACCTAATTTTGTTATTTTCCTTATATATTTGTGATATCTTTTATTAAAAGAAGGGTAATTTAGTCATTTTGTACATAAAAAGGGGTATTTTTAAAAATGGACAGCCAAAGGGGACATTTTTGAAAAGGGGTATTAAAAAAGGGGCATTTTTGTGAGTCTCCCAATAATATTCTCAATAAATAAACGAAATACGTATTATTCATTCATGTTTAATAACCAAATATTGCATTAAAAAGTGGATAAACTAAAAATCAAATTATTAATAATAAAATATTTATTTAAAAGAAATGACTAATAATAGTGTTTTGAATGTTTCTTTTTTGTTGAGTAGTTGTATAATTTTGAGTAATCAAAAATCAATAAAATTATTAATGATGAAGCAATTTATGAAATAATTGAATGGGTATATAAAGTATATGTTTTATTAAAAATACTATTGTATAAACTCTTTTATACCAATATTAATGGTGATTATGAAAATAAAATGAATATTATTGAAATGGATCTTAAAAGAAAGATTGAAAAATGATAATAATTAATTTATCAAAAAAATATGTGAAACAATATATATAGGGAGACTCACAAAAATGCCCCTTTTTCAATACTCCTTTTCAAAAATGCCCCCTTTGGCTGTTCATTTTTAAAAATACCCCTTTTTATGTACAAAATGACTAAATTACCCTTCTTTTAATAAAATATATCACAAATATATAAGGAAATATAACAAAATTAGGTCCACAAAGTGATCCCGCAATTTTTCCCGCCAAAACACTTGTAAAAACTTATAAAAACCTTTAAAATACCTTGTAAAATTTTCCCGTAAAATTTTTTCCCGCCAAAAATTTTTTTTTGCGGGAAAAGTGATTCCGCAATTTTTTTGGCGTTAAATTTTTGGCGGGAAAAATTTACAAGGTATTTTAAAGGTTTTTTACAGGGTATTTATAAGGTTTTACAATGTATTTTAAAAGGTTTTACAACGTATTTATAAGGTATTTATAAGATATTATAAGATTTTACAAGCAATTTTATAAGGTTTTACAAGTTTTTTATAAGGTTTTACAAGTTATAAATACCTTATAAAACCTTATAAGTACCTTGTAAAACCTTTTAAAATACATTGTAAAACCTTACAAAACACTTGTAAATACTCTGTAAAACCTTTAAAAAACCTTGTAAATTTTTCCCGCCAAAAAAATTTCGCCAAAAAAATTGCGGAATCACTTTTCCCGCAAAAAAAAATTTTTGGCGGGAAAAATTTTTACGGGAAAATTTTACAAGGTATTTTAAAGGTTTTTTACAAGTGTTTTGGCGGGAAAATTGCGGGATCACTTTTCCCGCCAAAAAATATTTTGTATTTTGTGGACCTAATTTTGTTTCAAATAAGGGTAAAATGGTCATTAAAAAATAAAAGAGGGCAAACTTAAAAATGGACTCTCAAATGGGGCATTTTTGAAAAGGGGTATTGAAAAAGGGGCATTTTTAGCAATTTCTCTATATATAAATATGTAAAAAGATTCTAATTATTATGAGGAGAAGAAAAAAGAAAATTTTTAATTATTATTTATTTTAAAGTTTATTATTTGTTTGAAAGCCTCATATTTGAGACTTTAGAAATTTGTACGTAAAAAAAAGAAAAAAATTGGCAGTTGGACTTTAAGAACTTTTAAAAAAATCTAAAGTCATAAAATGGTGATTGGCAAATATTTGGCTTTTAAGACTTTAAAAAAATTTTAAAGCCTTGAAAGTCTCTTCCAATCACCCCCGAATTTGAAATCTATAATCAAACAAATTTAAATGTATAAATATTTTACTTTTAACATTTATTTTAGTTTTAGCTTTTTTATAAACTGGATATGCTTTTTGGTAATATAATTTTAGTTATAAATCATTCATCCATCTTTTCATTTATCTAAACAGTAGTAAATAAATACTAAACCAAAACAATATTTTTCAACTATATTTCCCCCATAAACAAATACCATACGCAGCGTTTTGAAGCGAACGTCGCATTACTCTCTTAATCGTTAATTTCCTGATTTAGGCTTCACCATTTTTTTTTTTCCTGATAAAAAATTTTAGCTTCACCATGTTCGTTTGGGTTTTTTGAACATTTGATGAATTGTTGCTTCTGAGATCTCGACGAAGATAAAAGCTCTTCGGCTACTGCAAGGTATATTTCAATTTCGAATTTTTGTATCGCCAATCTCCTCGCGAATGAGGTCTTGTAAACCCTAAATCCAGTTTTGAACCTCTTGTCTCTCTTCACAAGTAGCTCTCGTTCTCTATCCACTAATTCTAGCGTTTTGCATCAGTATTCCTCTCTGCGTCCATTTCTGTTTTGATGTATGTGATTGCGCTAATGCCGTTGCTCATTTCGTTTTCGTTTTACTCTGGTTCTAGGTTTCGAGCTCACTCTGCTAGAAAACCCTAAAAATTTGATTTTGTGAACTTCCCGTGGTAAATTTGAAAGGGCGATATCTCAGTACCCCTACCAAGGACACATTCTTGATTAGAGAAGACTTAATTTTTGAGGTGAGAAGCTTAGGGAAAAGTTTTGTTAATTTTGCGTTGGAATTTGGGAGTTTTGTTAGATAGTGGTACATTGGAGGTTGAGATTAGGTGTAAGGAATAAGAAGATAGATATGGATGGTTCGGGGAGGAAATCTGGTTCCAAGAGAGGATCTAAGGTTTTTCAGTTTGACGATGATGCTGATGATGATGAGCCTATCGGATCTCTTTTAGAGATTATGAAGCATAAAAGTTCCAAGAAGGATAAGGTTGAGACAGAAAGTACTGGTAAACAGAGACAGAAACAGGTTGTGGAAAAGAAGCTGAGTGCTTTGGACAAGGATTCTGAAGATATGGATGACACCTTAGCCAGTTTTAGGAAGAGATTGAAGGGCAACAAGAAAGGTGTTGGATCAGGAACTCCTAGAATTAGGAACCACGAGGGTGTTCCTCCTATTGATACTGTAGCAAATTCTAATTTGAAACCAATTGAGGAAGGCAACACAAACAAGGTGCAGAGTGTATTACTTAGGGAAGGTTTGAATAGCTTATATGTCAAGAAGATGGTTGATTCAACAGTAGATTCTGGCACGAATAATAAAAGAGTGGATTGCATATCGGAAAATGGTGCTTCTAATTCTATTCAAAAGTGTGCTTCAGAAACTGGAACCCTCCTGCATAAGTTTTATGGTAAAGATGAGGCAGCCTCTCCTGGTCATAAAAAAGTAGAAACAGTCTCCAGGGAGAAGGAAGCAGATGTCTTTCATCAAATTACAGAGGAGGAATCCAAGCGACCAATGTCGGAGAAGGCCCTGGAGCTATCCAGGGTGTCTGTTCCCATGCCAGATGTCCATGGTGAAGTTTATTGTCCTACTGATAGAAAAGAAGTTGCAGTTATTGCTCCTGATCAGCACATACACTTGGGAGAGCCAGCTTCAGAGTCCGGTTATTACCGAGAGAAGAATTTAGTTATGTGTGATTGTGGTATCCAAGTTAATTTTGAGGATCATTCCTTTGAGTCTAATACCCATGTTACTCTCTGTCATAAGTGCAAGTATTCTTCACACCATAATGCTTCTAATGGAGGTGGTATTCAAGTTAATACTCTAGAAGATGGAACTGCTCAAGCTTCCCCAGTTTCTATAATTCCCTGCGAAGATGAAAATTTCCGAGGGGATGCAATTTCATTACCTAATTCTGGGAAGCCATCCACCTTGCAACGCCCAGAGCGTATTGCTAAAAAGCGCAAGCTTGGAAACATGGTGTATGAAGGAGACATGAAATGGGAGAATGAGCAGGGCTTTCTTGATTGTCAAAGTGACAAGTCCTTTAAGGGAAGCGACAAGTGTGATTTTGTTCCATCTATTTCCAAGGACATTGAAATTGGTAGAGCAGCTGCGGTGACAGCTGGACTTAAAGCCCAGTCGGTAAGTCCAATTGAGAAGATTATACTTAAAGAGGTGTTGAAGCGCAAAGGTAGCCATCAGGAGTACCTAATTTGCAGGTTAGTTTCCTTTTTGTGGCTGTTACGTATTCAAATACGTGGTTTCAGTGTTTCTTATCTTGTATAGAATGTATTTTTCTTACGATCTTATAAGAAGGGTGTACCTTAAGATGTCAATCCCATTTTTGGCTTCTTCATTTGTTGGAAACCTTGAATACTTACTGTACTGTATGTTTGCAATGAAATTAAAGAATTTTTAAGTTGGTTTTTGTCCATTTTGTGTTCACCAGTTTTACTTGGAACGATTTTGATATTCTAAATATTATTGTTTTTGTGTTTCATTCGTCCTCTTGAAGATCTTAATTCCACTTTTTGATGTACCAGAACTGATATCTGTATTGATACAGGAATTCTATCTTAGGCCTGTGGAGTAAAAATGTCAGCCGAATCTTACCTGTCACTGAGTGTGGTGTTACCGGTGGCCCTTCTGAGAATGAATTGCCTTCAGCTTCCCTTATCAGAGAAGTCTATAAGTTTCTTGATCAGAGAGTAAGTCTGTGCTGTTGCTTTATTTGTGTGGTTCTCCTGTCTTCTTCGTTTTTTTTTCCCCTTAAGTTTGCTTTTAATTTGTATGCATTATTGAAAAGAGAATGAGTGCTGTTTCTTATAGACCGCATGTGAAATGGTGTTTTTTTTACAGGGTTATATAAATGCTGGAATTTCATCTGTGAAGGGGAAGGCGGGATCTTTGACTAATCAAGACTATGATCTCCTCCAGGGGAGAAAGCTTGAAGAAAGTTCTATGGCTTCTGTTGCAGATTCTGAAGAGGGAGTTGCTTTTATCCTTGGTCAGGTCAAAGCCGTTGAATCAACTAGTGAGGGTAAGAAATGTTCTTTCCAAAATGATGAAAGGGACTTGGTAGGATGTGCGACCTCGGAAATGTTAGAATCTACCAGCAAAACATGTGAAGCAAGCATTATTGATGATTGCAAACATTCTGTGAGCATAAATGCTTTACAGGATGGTACTGCATCTAATGTTGAAAAGCATCCTGAAACATTTTCAGTAGCTAAGCCTGCTTTGTCTAGCACACTCTCCTCTGCAAATAGTAATCAAATGAAAGGAAGGGACTCTGTTCCATGTGAGGTTAAAGATGAGAAGAAAGTTATAGTTATTGGAGCTGGTCCTGCTGGATTAACTGCAGCACGTCATTTACAGCGCCAGGGTTTTTCTGTAACCGTTCTTGAGGCAAGGAGTAGAGTAGGTGGTCGTGTATTTACAGACCGGTCGTCTCTTTCAGTTCCTGTGGATCTTGGGGCTAGCATAATTACTGGCATTGAGGCTGATGTGCCATCTGAAAGAATGCCAGATCCTTCGGTATTGGTCTGTAACCAATTAGGTCTGGAGTTGAGCGTGTTGCATGGATTCTGTCCTCTTTATGATACTGTAACAGGGAAAAAGGTTCCTGCAGAATTAGATGATGCTCTACAAGCAGAGTTCAACAGTCTAATTGACGATGTGGATTTGCTTGTTGAGGAAATAGGCAAAGAAAGAGCAAATAAAATGTCTCTTGAGGATGGACTAGAATATGGCCTTCAACGGCTGAGAATGCCACATGACAAGGTGAACATTGACAAAATTGGGCTTGCCAATTCAAGCTCAAAAACAGGCATCAGTGGTCCCTTTACGCAAGATGAAAGCTGGAAAGATGATTTTTTGAATCCTTTGGAGCGAAGAGTTATGAATTGGCATTTTGCTCACACAGAATATGGTTGTGCTGCTGTCCTTAAGGAAGTTTCGCTTCCTCACTGGAATCAAGATGAGTTTTATGGCGGATTTGGAGGGCCACATGCTATGATTAAAGGTGGTTATAGCCGAGTTGTTGAGTCGCTTGCAGAAGGACTTGACATTCACTTAAACAAAATAGTTTCTGAGGTATCTTATGCCTCTGATGTATCTGCCACGCATAACAGCAAGCATAAAGTCAGAGTTAGTACATCAAATGGCTGTGAGTATCTTGGAGATGCTGTTCTGGTAACTGTTCCTCTTGGATGCTTGAAAGCAGAAACTATTAAGTTTTCACCACCCTTGCCGGACTGGAAATATGCGTCAATCAAACAACTTGGTTTTGGAGTTCTAAATAAAGTTGTGTTGGAGTTCCCAGAGGTATTTTGGGATGATAGTGTTGATTATTTTGGGGCAACTGCTGAGGAAACAGATCTAAGAGGTGAGTGCTTTATGTTTTGGAATGTCAAAAAAACTGTTGGTGCCCCTGTCCTGATAGCTTTGGTGGTTGGGAAGGCTGCTTTTGAATATACAAACAAGAGTACGTCTGAGCACGTGAACCATGCAATGATGGTTCTTCGGAAGCTTTTTGGTGGGGATCTGGTTCCTGATCCTGTTGCCTCGGTAGTTACTGACTGGGGCACTGATCCTTACAGTTATGGTGCCTACTCATATGTTGCTATTGGTGCTTCTGGCGAAGATTATGACGTATTGGGAAGGCCTGTTCAGAATTGTTTGTTTTTTGCTGGTGAGGCAACATGCAAAGAGCATCCTGACACTGTTGGTGGTGCAATGATGACTGGAGTCCGAGAAGCTGTGCGTATAATTGATATACTTAGAAGTGGAAATGATTACACAGCCGAAATAGAAACACTAGAAAAAGCGCAGAGGAAATCTGTACCTGTGAGGGATGAAGTCAGAGACCTAATAAAGAGGCTGGAAGTTGTTGAGCTGTCTAATGTGCTAGCCAGGCAATCATTGCTACGGAACATGTTCTTCTCTGCTAAAACAACTGTCGGGCGTTTGCATTTAGCCAAGGAGTTGCTTAACCTACCTGGTGAAACCTTGAAATCCTTTGCAGGTACAAAAGAAGGGCTTGCAGTGCTGAACTCTTGGATCCTGGTAAGCTCAGTGAGATAGTTTTATTTACCAAAGCACAGAAACAACTTTCCTTGGCTTATATGTTTGTTCCACGAATTTCTATTGGCTTTTTTACAAATTCTTGCTTATTTAAAATTTTCCGTTAGGATTCGATGGGGAAGAATGGAACCCAGCTTTTACGTCACTGTGTACATATTCTTGTTCGAGTTACGAGTGATCTCTTTGCCGTGAGGCTGTCAGGTATTGGTTTTTCTTCCAAGTGCACTTTTTGTCCCAACCTCATATATCACATGCAATCAGTTCTGTCCTAAGACTCGATATCATGTGCTATCGGTTTCGTCATTTCAGCCCTGTTTAATTTTCTCTAAGTTGGTTACGTTCCACTTGCTGATGCAGGCATTGGGAAGACTGTGAAAGAAAAGGTTTGTGCACACACAAGCCGTGATATCCGTGCCATTGCAAGTCAGCTTGTTAATGTGTGGCTGGAACTATACCGGAAAGAAAAAGCAAATAGTGGAAAGAAATCATTGAGACAAGCGAATACAACAAACACCTCTAGAATAAGAAGAAAACTGAATAGTCCGGACACAGACAGTAAGGGAAAGCTAAGCAATGGCAACGATGTTAAAACAGATGAAGAGCTTGAAGACAACCAGCTACCTATGTCAGAGGAAGAGAAGGCTGTGTTTGCTGAAGCTGAGGCGGCTCGTGCAGCAGCAGAAGCAGCTGCGAAGGCAAGTATTTTTTTATCTTTAAATTAGTGAAAGGCATTGATGGATGCTTGCTGAATGTGTTTGTTTTCTCTGAGGATGGGAATGTGCTTTCATATTAAGTCAACTCTTTATTTATTTGTTTGTTAACGAATAAATTATATGTTCCTGTCTTGCAGGCATTTTCTGAGGCCTATCATAATACTTCATTGCAGCTTCCTAAGATTCCCTCGTTTCATAAGTTTGCCAGGCGAGAGCAGTATGCAAAGATGGACGAATCTGATTTCAAGAAAAAGTTTCCTGGCAATGTCTTAGGAAGACAAGATTGTATGTCAGAGATTGACTCGAGGAACTGCAAAGTTCGGGACTGGTATGATTTTCCTGCCTCCTGCCTTGACCTTGACAATTCAAGAATTCCAGTTGATAACTATTCACAGCGTAGCCATTCGAATGAGCTTGTATCTCATTCGAAGTTCAGAGAATGTTCTGGAGAAAGTGTGGCTGCGGATACCAGTTTCTTAACTGGGGCATGGGTTGATACTGGTGGTAGTAGCGATGGTTTCAAGGATTCTCAGGCTATAGATAGATGGCAATCTCAAGCTGCCGCTGCTGATCCCGAATTTTTCAATCGTACTTTGCATATTAAGGATGAAGAAGATTCGATTGCTTGTTCGACAGACCCTCCTAGTTGGAAGCATGACCAAAGAGCGAATGAATGTTCTGTGTCACAGGTTACAGTGAATAAAGAGCCACATAAAAATCATAACCGAAGTGCAGATCGTTTGAAACAGGGGGTTGTAGATTTTGTTGCATCGTTGCTTATGGCCCCGTATAGAGCAAAAAAAATTGACAGAGATGTATACAAGTCAATTATGAAGAAGACAGCAACAAAGGTTTGTGACTTTGTGGTTTTCTACTCTTCAAAATTCTTCAACTACTAAATTGCGATTCTTGGTTCTACCTGAATTTAGAGAAAGAGTCTTCTGAAACTCTTGGGCATTTATCAGGTTATGCAACATACAACAGATGTGGAGAAAGCTATGGCTGTTACACAGTTCCTCGACTCAAAGCGGAAAAACAAGGTTTGTAAAAGCTCCAAAAGTTTCAGAGTTTCTTTTTGCCACAGTTATTGTCTCTTAAGTTTCTAGTTCATCCCTCTCTCTAGTGTCGGCAAAAATGTCAATTTAGATAATCTTGGTCACAGGTTCTCATAGTAAATATCACTAAATAGTTGAATCTATTTTAGAACAGTTTCTAATTGATTGTCACTTCATTTGAATAATATATATGTAATATGCAGATTCGGGACTTTGTGGACAAACAAGTTGACAAGTACATGGCGATAGCTCAAGTTCCAAAACCTTGATGGTCATTGGGATCTGTACTAACGGCCAATGGTTGTTGAGTTGGTATCCGCTGGGATGGCAATGCCCCTTTGTAGAAACCACATATCAAGCTTATGAAGCAGACGGTCTGATGTAGAAGAGACTTTTCCCATGATTTTATATACCAAAGCATTGGCAGAGACGAGTTTTTGGCATTACCAGATATGATGGAGAATTTGGTCTTGCTATATTGCTAGGTATGGGTGCATCTTCTCTCCTCTTCCTGGGGACAATGTTCTGAGGACTTTCTGATCAAGATTTTATGTCAAGTGGATGTGTCTTTCATCAGTTATCCCCTCGGATGATGCATGTTCTCAACTTACGCTGATTGTTTTTAGTAATTGTATAGAGCTTAAGATTTAGTTTTAACCCCCATTAGACAAACTTCTACTTTCAGGTATCTGAATTCATTTCTTGAGATTCATGTCATTTCTTGAACCCAAGAGAAAAAGCTTTTCACTTTCTAATGCCAATGATAATATAGATTGAGTCAAAGAATGCCAATATGATATTGTTATGTTCTGATTTGCCTATACTAGCAGCAGCCATACCTCCTTTGGTAAGTTCGTTCCCTATCTTTCTGAAGGGGAAATCTTGGATACCACAGCTGCAGGTGTTTCACTTTCACTCTTGCAGGTAAACATGGATCGTCAAACACTGGAAAATAACGATTGGTTAAGCTCCCAAGCATTTCAGTATTTTGATGTTCTTCTGGTGTCTCAAGACTTATAAGCAGCTTGTGATGTCTCAAGACTTACAAGACGCACTGCAATGACGCAGGTTATTTGCTTTGTATGTGTTTCTTCTGCATTCTTTTAATGATGGCTTTGTTAGCAATGTGGCTGAAAGTTTGATGCTGGCTTTTACAGGTGAGGAAACTTAGCCTTGGCTGAATTCACTTTCACCCATGTTGGTGAGGAGCTGGAATCTTTTTAATCGAAGCTGTTTAGATAGATACCTTGGTTCAAGAATCACTCTGCTTGTTGATGGGAGGTACATATATGCTTTGAATATTTAAAAAAATTGTCAATTGGATTTACATTTGATCAAGGATCGTATTTATGATGCTTCCTATCATCAATTCAGTTGCTGCTGAGTTTAATGGTCGGGTCTGGTATTTGCACTGTATTCTCTGAATATTTTCATGGTTTAAATCGGAGAATCATATGCAATTGGTCATTCCATAATATTACCATTTCAAATAGTGAAGTAGATGAGCATACGGGTTTGCAAGGACCATGCCCTTCTCCTTGATATTGAGCCATCCTTAACCTTTACGACTGTTAATCTCAAATCTCTTTTACTCATTGTAACATCTCTATAATTATGATTTTTGTTTAAAGCAAATGAAAGCATTATTGAAACTTTTAAGCGTTCTGCTACTGAAAACATTGGGACTAGGATTCATTCAGTTTATTTATTTATTAATCATTTGTGTCTTTCGAGTTTTTACAGCCAATGTCTTGCTTTCTTTTGTCGTAAACAATAAGTCAATAATCATGACAAACTATTGTGAAACCACCTTGTGTCGTGGCAATTGGCATCCACACTCTCATTAGCATAAACTTAGTAGAGAAGAGCATCAAGGTTTCGTTTACCCTCAGGACCTTTAGAGTACCAGGAAGAAACATATTGACCATACACAACTTCCTTGTAAGACGGTGGGGATAGTTGAGAAACTGGTGCTATCCTTGCCGTCTTGGAAGGATCATGAAAGGTAGCGACTGATAACCGCGCCCGATTCGCATTAGTTACGGCTCTATGTTGAGCACTTTTGTATATCCCATTGGTTATGATCTGCACAAGGATCAAAAAAGCATGTCAGAAGCTTCTCTAGCTTGCATTGTCTATGAGACCTCAAAGAGAGTATATAAACCTCGGTTTGATCGGCTATAAGAACAAGAATAGCGTCAGAGATAGGAGGAACAGTGAGCCATTGAGCATCCTTGTAAAGCTGAAGACCTCCAACATCATCTTGAATCAAGAGAGTAATGGCACCCATATCGGAATGAGACTGAAGACCAAGTGTGAGCTCAGGCTGAGGACAAGGAGGGTAATAACTCACAGTGATGTTTTGATAGATTTCACCAACAGCTTCTTCGATAGATGAACAAGGAAGACCCAAACTCTCTGAGATTAGCTCTAATAGCATCTGAGCTAATTTCTTCATCTCATCAGCATATTCTCCAACAACTTGTCTACCAATCAAATCAAATCAAATCAATCAATTGAGACAGATGAAACATTTTCTCAGGATTAAGAGATGAATCAAAGCAGAAACCTGTAGTCAGGAGGATGAATCGGCCAGCGAGAAGGGTTACGGCGAGAGAGAGGAAACGTGTGATGATCAAAGTAATCTCTCCAATCCAAAACGACGTCGTCTTTAGCACCGAGCAACATCCGGCTACCGTAACCTTCCGACGCGGCGGAGGTAGAGTCGCAAGAGTAACGAAGCTTCTCTTCCATAGGAGAGTCTTGGAAGAAAGAGAGACCTAAAGATCTCATCCGATCAAGTAGATGGATTGGAACGCCATGGTTGATTACGTGAAAAGCTCCCCAGTTACGACAAGCGTCACCGATTGCTTCTCTCGCGGAATCGGAGCTCGAGAGATCGACGGTTGGGATCGAAGCTGCATCGCCGGAGTTATGGAGATGAGGTCGAGCTTCCGGTGGCTGAATATACTGGGAAGGAACCTCCGGTAAGTTGCCTTTAACAATCAGTTCCACTCTCGACGCTGTTTCCATGGATGATGATCTGATCTACACGAAGATCTGAAATGTGAGCGGAGAATTATAATTATCAAAAAAAAAATTACATTATAAAACATAATGATGACGTGGCACTCTAGTTATATAGAGACACTAGAAGTAACAAAGGGTTTAGGGTTAAAATCTTTTTAATGATGGCGGAAGAGATTGCTGGTGAAGACAGAATCAGTGAGTTATCAGACGATCTACTCATAGAAATATTATGGTTTGTGCCGACAAAAGATGCAGTGACCACTACGTTTTTGTCTAAACGATGGCGATATGTCTGGACAAAGTTGCCTAGACTTCACTACACAGAAACGGGAAACAGTAGCAAGAGTGTTTGGTGGTTTCTTGACAAGTCAATGCGATTTCACAATGCTCCTTTAATAGAAGAGTTGTGTATTCAACTAGGTCCACAATGTCCCATTGATGCTGATATTGCAAAGTGGGTTGCAAAAGCAATTGATCGTTGTTTGCGTGAGCTAGTTTTCATACTTCAATGGAATAGCGAACCGATTGTAATGCCTAAGAGCCTTTACACTTGCAAAACGCTTACGAAATTGGTCCTCTCCGATAACATTCTTGTTGATGTTCCTTGTGAGGTTGATCTTCCATCACTTTACCAGCTTGATCTTAACTCTGTTGTCTACAAAGACGAAGATTCTCATGTCAGGCTTTTATCAAGCTGCCCCGCTCTCAAAAATCTGTTTGTGATTCGACTTGATGATGTGGATGATAATGTGAGAAAGTTCACTGTGAAAGTGCCTTCTCTACTGAGATTAACTTATCTGGGTAGGCTCTTTGGAGAAGACGAAGATAGCGATGGTTCTTTGGTTATAGACACCCCAGATTTAATATATCTCAACATTCTTGACTGTTCGGAACACTCTTGCTCGATTAAGCATATGCCTCGTCTTATGAGAGCACTTATTAATGTTGCATCTCACCCTGTTGACAATTTTCTGACATCTCTTTCTTCCATCGAGTATCTTGAGCTATCTCCATCTGGTGGTACAATGGTTCCATGGTGTAACGCCGTTTACTCTCTACTTACAAGGTGTTGCATATGTCAATTTGACCCGGACTTGTGTGAATCACTTGTGGTTTTGCTCTCTAATTGTCCTAAACTAGAGGTTTTAATGGTCGACTCCACATTTCTGATTGATCGGTCAGAGAATCATGCTCCATTTTTATGGAACCAACCGAGTTCCGTTCCCAAATGCTTGTCTTCTCATCTCATGATCTTTAAATGGAAAGGATATTCAGGAAGAGAAGATGAAAAAGAACTCATAAGATATATTCTGGAAAACTCCAAGTGTTTAAAAAGGGCTGATATTTCGATGAATTCAACCTGCAATCTTGAAAAGAAACAGAAGATGATTGACGAGTTAGAATCTATGCCTAGTGTTTCAACGTCTCTTATGTGTCTCTTCTTTGCTTAAACGTTGCTATTGAGACTTTCGCATTATGAACTTTGCCTATTTTCAGAAGATGATGTTTCTAAATCCTAAGTTCTTTACGTTTAACAAACTTATGTTCGTGTAATATTCACAAGTGTTGTCAAAAAAATATTAAAAGTCAGATAATGCAGATGCATCATTCGAAAACAATTTGCCAATGAACAAAGCAGAGAGATTCATTTCTCTCTTCAAGGAATGAGAACCATATTATTTCACTTACAACGTCTCCGACAAGACCCTTGAGTGACTTAATTGCTCTGCTGCCCGAAACTCCAGCGTGAGTCATGACCAATTCAATGTCACGAGCCTTCGCACCGGTCTCACCTCCTCTTCATCTTCTTCAGCTTGTGCTTCTACTGTGGCTGTTGATGCATCTGAGATGTCGCAGGCATCCTAAATAGTTGAGTGGCTTGTGTTTGAAGCTGGGAGCTCATATCCTTGATCGAATATAACATAAGCTTCTGAATTAGAAGTCAAACAATTGTCATTTATAATTTTTCTCTCGTTTGTTGTCATTAAACTAAGAATTACAGAAATGACAAACATATAGCCAAGCCAAATGGTGGAAGAAAAAAGCACAAAACTCGTAGGAAAAACTGACAAAGATACACTAAAGTTCGGACAAGATAGCAGGGATGTAATGGGAGAGTTCAGCGGTGAGAGACTGAAATCCATTGACAAGCTGAGTATGGAATTCCTGATCTTCTTCTCCGATTAATCTAAAGTGAACCCTAATGGCTCGCTTACAAACCGCCATGAATTCAAGCAGTGCCGCTATCAGTTGCTGCAGTTCCTGCGAACGCAATCTAGTTGCAGGCTCTCCTGATAAGAACGCTGTGCACACGCTCAACACCCCACTGTTCACCTGCATATTTCCATGGAAAGGCATAAGATAAGCATTCCTACGTTTTACAACACAATCTATAACAGAAATTATGGGAGAAAACCCACCTGCACTGCAACACTTCCTTGGAGAATTCTCTGCAGACTTTGAAGCCGTGGTAGATGATCCCCATCCGAGCTACGAGGCTCCTCTAGCTCATTTCTCAGAGCAGTTGTCCGCGTTTCAATCATTCCAATCGCATTCTCCACTGGCGAGAATTCAAGGGATTCAGACTTGGTAACCAACAGCCTATTAACAAGCGCAGGGAATGAACCCTCAGTCTGCAGCACTGTTCTTCTCTTCCATTGATCTTCTAATCCACCTTGTGTCTTACCATTTTTTGTAAAGGGTGTGTCAAACAAGAAGCGATCAAACACTCGTGCTCGAACACTTCCAGTCGAAAGAGAAAATATTCTCTCTCTTCTGCTCCCAAGATCCTCATCTTCCATCACTGCATCAACAGCCGTAATTTGCAGGTAGCACACTCCTGCCTGCAATTCTTCTGCCTTCACTTGCCTCGAATCTGGTATAATGTGCAGAATATGGTTGCTGTCCATTCTTGATTCATATATATGGCTCAGCTTTTCCATTATATCCCCTAGCCGCACATCTCGTGGTTCACGGTATACATATTCTTTTCTGTCCAACTTCCCAAACTTTTCCCCGTAAAATCCCACCCGGTAATATGTAGCATCAATAAATGGGATTGGGTTTGATTCTTGGTCAAGAATGGACTCATATATATTAGTAAGTAAAGTGTGACACTTAGCCAACTGCCCATAAGCCTTCCTGCTCTTGTAAACTGGAATAACAAGTTCCAAAATGCTTGCACAAAAATGGTAGAGCTCAGCTTGAGAGAAAAGCTTATTAGCAAGCTGTAGATACTTGACGGCGGAGTCAACTGTTAGCTTTGAAGCACCATAACCCTCGACTTCAGCTGCA